GTTCGAATCCCGGCGCCGGCCTTTGTCCTTCCAGCACAATTCCACCCCCGGTTCTGTCTCCAAAATGAATCCCTGGCACAAATAGCCTTAAGCAAGGTGCACGAGGCCAAGCTGGAGCCTGCCAGCGGAACGCTCACCACTCCACATTTAACCTTTCGGCACTGGATCATTAGAACGAAGCCTCTCCCCCCACCTCCAACAGAAGAGTGCCTGCGTCAGGAAAACGGGGCAGAGCACGTCGGAAAGCTGTGGAAGAAAGCACCCGCTACACCCGACCGCAGGGAAACGCCTCCCACATAATTCCTCCGGAGGCTGTCAGGACGAGTCTTTCATCCCGAGGAGTTTCTCCCAGGAGTGTGGGATCGTCACGCCCAAGCAACGCGGTGCTGCGGGCAGCAGCGAGATTTCTGCGGGACAGTTCCCGTGCCACAGCTGGCTCTGCCCGTACTTGTCCTTCCCTGGGTCTCAGGCAGCCACCAACTACGAGTTCTGTTTTTTTAGGCTGACCTAGCACGCACGCTTGGCTGATGCAGGCAGTAGTACGGGCGTCAAACCGCCAGTCAGAAACGCAACACCCTTCCCCGTTCCCACTGAGCGAACAGGACCGGCACTATTTCCCCCCATTTGAATGGTTCAATTAGGGGGGCAAAAACCCACGGAGGCAATTTTTCTTACAAGTCTATATTTCCTCCAAAAATAAATATATGAACGTCCTGCTCCAGACTCGAGACCAGGAGCCAGCCTGTGCTTGGCAGGAGCAGAACCAGTACGAAGGCTCTGTGACGGTCTCTGCTCAGCGTGACTGAGCACTGGAGCTCTCCAGAGCACCGTGCGATGCCCGGACAAACGCCATGTCCTGCCTGTACTTCATGGCAGTGGGTGGCTGGCGCCTGAGCAGCTGGTCACCGCTGTCCTTTGGGTCAGGGTCATCATAGATGGTTGAGATGAGGATAGGAGCATCCCGCCGGGGCTTTTTCGCCTTGCTGAAAGTTGGCAGTTTCTCCCCGTGGTACCTAGAGGGAAGCAGGAAACGTTTGGTCCAACATTGCTGAGGCAGTTGGACATCCCAGTGCATCCCAGCTCATTTCCTTCACATGCTGCAGGGGAGAAGTGGACCGATACAGGGCAACGAGGGTTCTTGTCCTATTCCTGGCTGTGGGATCGCTCAAGAACAAGAGCCAGTCCTCGCAGTGAAACGCAGTGCGACACAAAGCCTGCAGAAACTCCCCAGAGAAGGCAGGGGCGAGGTGCACAGCTCCAGCTCTGGTCACTTGGACTTTCCCCACCAGAATACCACACCACAGGTGCCCCTCGATCCTCCAGCACAGCTCTCCCTCTGTGTTTACATGCTGCATGAACCTGCAAATGGTTCCATTCCTACTCTACCACCACAAGCTCCTCTAAGGAGTGCTGGACCATGAGGAAGAGCAGTGCACTTCGTTCTGGAGTGCTGTGGCAGGCCCTGCAACCAGCTGTGCAGAAAAAGGCAGATCCCTGGGACAGCCTTACAGTTCTGGTTCACGCTCCGCTCCTGCTGTGGCAGCCCAAAGAGCCCAGGCAGAGACTCTGAACACAGGCTGGCAGGGCAGGGTTGGGTACTTACCCCAGCCCCCTCTTGCATCTGGGGTTCTGACCCTCGTTTTCCAGAGCTTCAGCCATTCCAGAGTTGCTGCTCCCCAGCCCCAGCCCCTCCGTCCAGCCCTGCTGCTCCAGCACCTTCCTGCCAAAGCCCTGGGAAAGGGGAAAATAAGGTCACAGAGTTGCTGGACAAAGCTCATCCTCATCTTCCCAGAACCCTCTGCCTCATCCCCACATCCAAGACCTCTCCTCCCCTAATCCACAGCCTCTGAGCATCACCACCACAGCCTTTCCCGTCCTGCCCCGTCCTCTCCCGAACACGTATCCGGAGCTCACCTTGGTGTATCTCTCGAAGGTGCCAACCTGTTGCCCTGAAACAGACCCGTCCTCCAAGCCGTCCCGGAGTCGCCGCTCCAGCCACATCTGGACCGAGTCCCGAGCATCCTTATCACCCCCATCTAGGGGGAAAGAAGCAAGAGTCAGAGCAGCACAGCTCAGGAAAGCTGCTCACTACCGTCATTTCCCCCAGAGCACCACGCAGCAAGGAGGCAGAACCTGTTCTTTTTGGCAACTCTCACTGCCAGACAAGAAAAACACTGTTTCAGGTACACTGACGTCTTGGACGCTTTCAAAGGATGACGGAGCCCAAGAATTCCCCACTGCAAAAATTCTGCAAGGTCAGAATTTCCCAACCTCCCTGGTTTCCCAAGGGGAGTTCAGTTCAGATACCTTTGTCATAGTAGACGCTCATGTCCACATCCCAGTCATCCGCAGTCTGCTCGTCAAAGTCTGCCAAAAGAAGGAAAGCACCAGTTTTAGGGATCATGGAATCACGGAATGGTTTGGGTTGGAAGGGACCTCAAAGATCATCCAGTTCCAACCCCCATGCCATGGGCAGGGACACCTTCCACTACACCAGGTTGCCCAAAGCCTCATCCAACCTGGCCTTGAACACTTGCAGGGATGGGGCAGCCACAGCTTCTCTGGGCAACCTGGTCCAGTGCCTCAGCACCCTCAGAGGGAAGAATTTCTTCCTTATATCCAATCTAAATCTCCCCTCTTTCAGTTTAAAGCCTTTGCCCCTTGTCTTATCACTACACGCCCTTGTAAGAAGTGGTTGTGGATGTCTGTGGATGGTTGTGGATGTCTGACACAGAAGAGCTGTCTGCTGGTGGCCCAGCTCCCTATTTTCTCTAACAAAATGGCAAATAAACAGCATTAGAGACTCTGCAAACCACAGCCCTTACACAACAGGCTGAGAGTAGGACCACTGGACTGGGGGATTGGACTAGATGATCCTTTGAGGTCCCTTCCAATCCCTGACATTCTGTGATTCTGTGACTGAAGCACTGCAGGTTTTGTGATCAAGTGAAGGTTTAAAAAGCCATGGCAAGATGCCTGGATCTGTAGCTGGCCCAGAATGCTCACACGGGGTGATACCCATTTACCTGCAGGGCTGGGCCCCCCAGCTCGTGGCGGTTAGTTTGTGGCTCAGCGACACAAACACCAACGTTACCTCCGTCCTTCTCCTGCCAGTACTGAGCATCCGTGTAGAAGACAAGGCCAGAGCCGCCCTTCTCCCACTTCAGCTCGATCTCCTCTTCGAAGAGTCGCTCCTCCATGCGGTCCTGCTTGGTCACGTCCTCATGCAGAGCCTCGTGCCGCTCCCACTCCTCACAGGTGTCGTTGTCCTGCAGAGGAGCCGGGGAAGGTGGGTGACACCAACGGCACACAGCCCCCTTCCCCGCTTCCCAGACCTTCCCAGGCCCTGGCAGCCCATCCCAACGCCTCCCCTACGAAACAGCTTTGTCGACAGAGCTCGCCCCAGCCTGCTGCGTTCAGGCACCAGCACGACCGGCGCTGATGACCTCATCCCCTTGACTAATGCCATCTCCGGAGTCAGCAGACCGAGGTGGTGAAAAACACCACATCACACCCACTTCACAGCGCGCTTTCAACAGCGCGCCCTGTCCCTAATGCCAAGATGCCCATTTAAGGAGCAGGTGTGTTGGACATAAAGTCAGCACTGGCAACAAATTAATTCCACTCGGGTTGATCCCTGAAGAGATTGTGTGGGTTCCAGCGAAGCGGTTCGCTGGCACGGACATGGATCAGGCTGACAGCTTCACTGTTGCCTGCCCAGCTCTGGGCAGAGCCCTCTAAGGAAGACATCAACCAACTAAGGAACAGCCAAAAGGATGACTTGAGCTCCAGGAAACAGCCTGTGAGAAACGGCTGGAGGAGTCTGTTTAGTCTGGAAAAGGAAAGACTGAATAAAAAGTTTGCACAGGATGGAACAAAGCGTTCTCTGTGCCCGCTGTTGCTAGGAGGACCTAATGGGATAAAACTACAGCAAAGATTTGGCACCAAGTTAATTCTGGCACAGCAAAGAACGGGAATGGCTTGCCTCGGGATCGTGCTGCCTCTGTAATGACAGGGGTTTGTGAGAACAGGCTAGACAGGTGGCTGTCAGGGGGAGGGGACGAGATGGGCTCCGGAGAGCCTGTCCAGCCCAGTTTTCCAGGAGTCCTTGTCACGAAAGCCATTCTTCTCAGAACGATTAACTTCAATCACAGGAGCATTCGAGGTCAACCATTTGTGCAGCTCTGCATGCTGTTCCCAGCACACAAACGTGCTCCCGAATCTCCAGTCACCTCATTTAGGAGCAACAGTGGAGCTGGGCCAGCCTGCCACGCAGCAGGGCAGAGGTCTGCTCCCACAGCACCAGCCTCTGTGTGCTCCTCTGCACCAAACCCTCTGGGCTCAATCCCAACTGAACCCTCTGGACTCGACCCCTACAACCGGCCTGATCCAGACAGGCGGCTTTGGAGGCGCTCATGCCCACGCTGGTCACGTGCCAAGGGGCTCAGAGCACCAAGATATGAACAACCGTATTTTCGCATCATTTTTAGTCAAGTGATTTACACAACACAATTAAAAGATTAAAAACAAGATCCGAGGAGTTTTGTCGGCTCTCCCAGCTTCGCAGCTACAACAGCTAACCTTGGATAGTGCTGGAAAAATCCACTTACGTCATCCGAGTGCGACTCCTCACCCTTTTTCTCCTGCCCCTCCTCATCTTCCTCAGCGCCGGCTGGGTGAGTCACTTCAGATTTTGCCACAGGTCCCTCTTCCTCTGTGATCTCATCCCCCGTAGCAGTGTAAACTCTTTCTTCTACGACTGTCTCAGTGTCCTGGTATTCAAAAGGCACATTCCCATACCTGCGGGATGAGCCTGTCTTTGGAAAATCCAGCTGCAATTTCTTGATAATCCGGGGAGGCAGCCTGCAGGCACGGATCAGCTCCAGAAAAACTCTCAGGGGGGTGCCCACGTTCCCGTAAGGCATGAAGGAAGGGGGGTTGAATTCGGGAAGCCGCTTCAAGTCC